GCGTTCCGTCACAGCCACCATTTCATTTATCAGAGGCACATGGTGAGAACAATGAATGAAGCACATGGTGAGAATAATGGATGGCGGCCCTTTTAACTCACAGACACTGTTTGTACTTTTCTACACGGTGCCATCTCGCTGGTGTTTGGTGCACAAAGACATCGTGCAGTAGTTTTAAACTATACAACAGGGGACACATTATACAGTAATTATTTTTCATATAGCCTGTATATGTTCTGCGGAATCTGCATTAAGCTGTATCTTCCAAACTACTGAACGGATCTGGGTGAATTTTGGATATGTGGTTCACCCAGATCTTTTTATGGGGTTATTGCATGTTTTGGGGTCCCTGTGATATGCTTTATAATACTGTATTTCTCTGCCTGTGAGAATTATATTAACTATTGTGTTCAGTAATCATATCACAGGCAGAGGGGAGGATTTTGTGTGGGAGTGTCTGTGTGTATTGTACGGATTGATTGGTTGTATTTTAAAACCCTGTGGGCAGTACTATGTTTGTGGATTGTGAATAAAAGAGGCTGTATGTGCCAGTACAGTCAGTTCTACTTCACCCTCAATTTGGAGTCCTGTCTCTTATTGGTAGAATCTGCTACAAGGGATTGCTATGCTCTGCATATTCCCTTGCTTTAATCACTCCTAAGCTCTTGTAAGAGCTTGTTCCTGTCTTGCTCTCTGAAAGAGTCTACAGTGGTTATGGTGTCGGCTGGAGTGCTTCGAGCCCTCAGGAAGCGCTTGGAGCATCCTACAACGGAGTTACCCAGTCGGGGTGTCAGGTGATCCGTTACACTGCTCCTTTACCTTTTTGCTTCTTTTGTGCCCTTCTGCTCCTTTCTCTTTCTGATCCATTTCTGCTACTTTCGCTTCCTTCTGACCCTTTCTGCTCCTTTATCTTTGTGCTCCTCCTGCCCTTTCCTGCCTTACTGCTTTTTGCTGCCTGTTTTCAGCGCCTTGCTGTTCCTTCTCCTACTTTACCTTTATGCTCCTTCTGATTCTTTCTGCTCCTTTACCTTTGTGCTTCTTTCCCTTCCTGCTTTTTGCTGCCTGTTTTCAACTCCTTGCTGACCCTTCCTGTTCCTTGTTGACCCTTCCTGCTTTTTGCTACCCTTTGCAGCTCCTTCCTGACCCTTTCTGCTCCTTGCTGTCCATTCTCCTACTTAACCTTTGTGCTCCTTCTGATTATCTTTCTGATCCCTTTCTGCTACTGTCACTCCCTTCTGCTCTTTTACCTTTGTGCTCCTCCAGCTCTTTGCTGATCCTTTCTGTCCCTTCCTCTTCCTTTTTGGCTCCTTCACCCACCTTACCTCTGTGCTCCTTCTGTCCCTTCCTCCTCTTTCCTGCTCCTTGCAGACCCTTCCTGCTCCTTGCTGACCCTTCCAGCTCATTTATGACCCTTTCTGCTCCTTGATGTCCCTTCCAGCTCATTTCTGTTCCTTCTCCTTCTTTACCTTCCTGATCCTTCCTGTAGACTGTCCCCCCTCCCCCCATCACTTACTTGATCTGTAGGCTGTCATAGACTGTGTTTAGGAATCCTTTTTTTTTGCTAGCCCTCACACTATGGTACATATGCACCACAATCCTCCTACAATGCTCAAATCAGGGCCCTCTTTTCCCATGGGCAAGCTGGGCAGTTGCCCGGGGCCCCACCACGCTGCCCAGTGTACCCAGGCTGACAGGGGAGATCCTTTGATCTCCCCTGCCGGCCCATGGAGAGTCTGCCCTGCTTTCTTGTCATGGGCCCTGTCCGGGTTAGTATACTGTACGTCGAGATAGTCCATCTGCATTCCCGTTCTGTTTGCCAGGTCAATAGTGTATGGTGAAGTCGGTTGTAAAGCTAGACTCCACCTCAGAACACAGGCATTATCCCCAGCGACCTGATTGAGCTAAACTAGGGGGTTTTGGTCAGTGATGAGGGTGTATGCGCGGCCATAAGGGGTTATTTTCTTCAGTGCCCACACGAGAGCTAGACACTCTTTTTCAATATGTGTTCTAAGTGTGCCTCGCAGGTGCCGCTATAGATCGCGATGCCATCCAGGTATGCACACGCATAATCGTGATGATCATCTTGGAGGATATCCACCATCCGTTGTAAGGTGGCTGGGGCGTTCTTCATCTTGAACGGCTTAACCCTGAACTGGTATAAGCCAAACGTAGTGATGAAGACCGATTTCTGGAAGGCCTCCTGGCTAGGGCAATCTGCCAATAGCCTTGCATCTATGGTGATCAGATACTTTCCCCTAGCTATATGGTCCAGCAGTTAGTCTACCCGTTAGTGGCTGCTGTGGGGGACAGGAGCTATATGGGGGTAATGGGCTGTAGTGGGGGTATTAAGGGTATAGTGTGAAAGTAGGGCCTATAGTAGGAAAGATAGTGGCTGCAGTGGAGGTGCAGCATAGAGTTGCAGTGACTATAGTGGCGGGATTTGTATCTATAGTGAGGAGGATAGGGGCTAGAGTGGGGGAATAGGGTTTTGTAGTGGGGAATAGGGGTTATAGAAAAAAAAATGGTGGCAGCAAAAAATGGTAGGGCATAAGGGCTGTAGGAGGGGCAGTGACTATAGTGGTAGCTGTAGTGGGAGGGCAGTGGTTGTAATGGGGAGCTGTGACTAAAGTGATGGTTAGATGCTATAGTGTGGGATAGAGGTTGTAATGAGGAAATGGGGCTATAATAAGGTATAGGTGTTTTAAGAAAAACAAACATTTTTGTTTAAAAAAAAACACACTCCTAAGCAGTATGTATATCGATATCTGTTTCAGTATGTGTGTGTCAGTATGTATCTCTGTATGTGTGTGTATGTCTCTTTTAGTATGTGTCTCTGTTAGTATGTATGTATTTGTCAGTATGTCTTTGTGTGTCTGTGTGTGTGTATCTGTGTCAATGTTTCAGTGCCTGTGTATCTGTGTATCTGTGTGTGTGGGTATATAAGTGTGTATATCTGTGTGTCGGTATGTGTATCTGTGTGTCTGTGTGTTTAGCTTAGTGTCTGTGTATTTGCATGTGTGTCAGTGTGTGTGTCAGTGTGTGGAAGTGTATACACTACACACAAATGCACACCGGCATTCAAACACCAACATACACACACATACTCCATACAAAAACATGCTAGCATTATATCACAAATTGCGTTTGTGTATACACACACACACACACACACACAGTGCATCCACTACACATAGACTAACACACACTGCACTTCAGACACACTGCATCCACAAAACACACACTCTTTAACCACTCTACAAAACTACTTATTTGTGGGCGGATTTGGAGGCGGGTCCAGTGGGTGGGATTTGGGGGCTGGCTCCCGGTGGCCGAGTCCTTCAGTTGTGTTAGGGGCCCAAAATTTCTGATGGTGGCCCTGCATAGAACATGTCTAGAAAGCACAATAAACTAATACAAACTCAGATCCCTTGTTGTGATACATCAGTAATAATAAATTGAATGATTATTAGAAAGTATTCAGTGCAAATCTCACGGCTGTCATTTCTTGTATTACTGTTCTTGCAAATTCTACTTGCCTTTAAAATCATAGAAGCAAAGGAAAAGCACCTATATCATGAATAGGAAATGATATATTGTAATACATAGAAGAGAAATAATTTACTATTAATGGTACAGCAAAGATAACACAATATTACATAAACATTCTGTTGCATATACAATGCGGGGTTCCCAATGTATACTTACTACTTTCCATTTGCAGGTGATCAATTAGCACAAGTAGAAAACTAGCCCAGTTGAGTGTGCCATGGACCCTCAGGCTGGAAGTGTCTAGTGGACTTGATATTTTAATCCCAGTAAAATGTATAACAATAAGTGATGCAGGAGGAATGGGGACAAAGAGGAAATTTGCAAACACACACCATACTCAGAGTCACCCCCACATACCCATCTTTATAGTATCATGGCTTTGGCTGATTGGTAAAATATGTGTATTATTTATAATAAAAGTGATATTTACAAGATTTTTACTTTATTCAACCAGATTCTATTAGCTTTGCTTGGAGTGTTCCTATAATGCTGTACTTTTCCCCAAGTTTAATATTACAGAAGTGTTATAGCTGCTTTCTATTATACAATGTGAAAATACACTTAGCAAAATTATTTAACACACAAAATCATATGTATATTTTTTAATTCTTTATTTTATTGTGCTTGTGAAAAAACAAAGAGGCATACAATGCCACAACAGCAGTTGCTCGCCTGTCAATTCAACATTTATAAACATGTGTTAGGCATACATCAACGGTGCACATTTTATATTATAAAGTATAAAAGTCTCAAGAGAAGTCTCTGTGTCAGCTATATAAGAAGATAGAGTCGGTACTAGACAAAGTGAAAATGCTGACATAAGGATTGAAAGTCATGTGAGTACAGGCGTAAGTGGGACAGTTCCCGTAGCATAAATTATATAGAGACTTTAAACAGGCTAATATTATGGAACACGCTAGGTACATAGATTAAATACTCAAGTGAGAAAAACATATTACTAGTACTGGCTCTTAGAATGTGTACAGACTTTACCATAGCAAGTTAAACTATAGTCAGTGCTTAGTTAAGTGTACTGAATGAGATCAGCTAAACACATAAAAGCAGAGTACAAAGCTAGGGTGAGTCTACTAAGGTTAAATGTATTTAGGCTCTACAAGCTGTGAACAGCATTATGTGTACTTCCAAGCTGGATTAGGCACCCAAATGTGTATGGGTGCGTTTCAACATATCTACCATGTGAGTGGCATGAGAGAGAAAACATATCATAAAACCACACAAGTTTTCAAAGGAGACAACTTTTCTGCATGAGTTTTGGGATATAGGACACTATGACTACACACATTAAACTAGTAAGCGTTTGTTGCCTCTGGTAGGTGGAGAGAGAGTCCTCACATTGTGAACTGGGTCAGCTGCACAGTGCAGTCCAGGTGAAGCACCCCTCCTGCTCGGGGACCTTCTAAAAACCGGTACCACTGGTCCACAGACTTGACTCATTTCTGGGGCTGAGTCCTTCCCCGGTGTGGGGCTGCACGGAGTTGCATGTTTCCGCTGACATCGTGCTCTCCTTCGCAGGCGTTGGTGGTGATTAGGGGTGGCTCTAGTCCCTGATGGGCCGTCATGTTGATAGCTGGTAGTTCTGTTAGTTGCTTTGACCAGCTGGTGCCCCTCCGACTGCGCCTTGGTCTTTCACCATTCAGAGGACAGATCCTTGGCTGGCTGCTGTGTTGGTGGTGCTCTGGCCATAATGCTGACCTGTGTTGGGGCTGGTGGCTGGCGCCTGTTTTCCAGGTGTTCCCAGAATCGCCTGCATATGGCGTCAAATCTTGCCTGGAAGGCTGCTGCCCAGTCGCTGGACATTGGTTGCGCCGTGTGGGGAGCGGTGCAGTCGGACATCTTGGTTCGGCCCCCCACAAAACAATAGTTTTAATAGCTACTAGGGAACATACATTCGGATAAGGATGCGGACCGTGGATAAAAATGCAGGCTGAAATTAAATGTAAAAACAAACTTGATGTCTGTTTAGCCGAGTTTTTAGCTGGTGTCCATCGATTCTTGTTTTGGCTTCTTCTTCCTGGTGTTTCCTGCATTTATATACTCCATTGGTTCATCTTTTTCTACCATATTAGCCTGCACACTGATAGAACGGATACCAAGTCTGCAAGTCTGCGTGCTCTTTGTGCACTCATTCACCCTGTCCGCTTGTACTGCTCTTTCACATTTTTTTATTTTCTTTGTTTGCACACTTTTAGTGCATTTTTTCTGCAGCGAAATACTTTTTCCCCTTCTTCTCCTTTTCACACTTTTGACTTTTTTTATTTGCACATGTGTTGAGCTCACCTTTTTTGTTTTTGCTCTCAGTCTGTTTAAGATTCTCACCACCATTAGACTCATATATATCTTTCTCTTCCCCATCCTAGTTAATTTTCACCTGCCCACTCCAACTACTCCACAACAAAGCAGTTCTCAGAACTAAAGCAAGTAAAGAACATCATGCACAATTATGACATCACACACGATTATGACATCACACACGATTATGGCATAAGGTGCAGCACAAGAAGCATTCTATGAAACTGATATATGTTAAAGGGCTAACCTTGTCTAATTTTCAACGTAAGTAGGTACACTATAAACTAAAATTATTAGATGAAGTAGCAGACACAATGGTTCATTTGCTTGTTGGACTATTCAGAGCTACTGAGAAACAAATGTAAAAAAGTGCCCAAAAAGTAAAAAATAAAGTTCTAATAGCTGCAAAACCTCCCTAAGCATTGTGATTTCTCAACACAGCAATACTAATAATAACCAATACACAATAAGTGTGCGCTTACAGAGGAACATTTTTTTGTATACCTAGCCAGTAGTTTCCCTTTAACCCCTTAAGGACCACTGATGGGTTCTGACCGTCACCAGAAACATACCCTTGAGAACCGGTGACAGTCCTGAAGCGTCATAACGGAAAACGGGCGGCGGGAGTGATCAGAGATGCGAGGCAGATAGTAACAGCCAATTATGTCGACTGAGCGACACGCGATCTCTCATAATTGGCTGCTGTCAAAGTGGGTGTTACAAACACTCACTTTGACAGTGATCTCTGCCCCTCTCTCCTCTGAAGTGTTTTGTGGGGGAGAGAGAGACAGAGATCCTGATATATTGTAGCCAGAAGTGTTCCAGAACCTGTAAAAAGTTTTAAAACTTAATAACAAATCATTTTAACCCCTACCATGCCAAATCTGTTACAGCAGTGCATTCGTACTGTCTGTATTTTTTTTTTTGCCCTTAAGGGTTAAATTTGTGTTAAACAGCTGTGTTTTAGTCTGTTTTAGTCGGTCTTATTCTGTCTTAGTCTGTTTTAGTCAGTAAGTTTCCTTCCCTTAAATCTCCATTAGATTCTTTTTGCAGGAGTTAGTATAGGGATTGCTGCTAAAGGAAGTTTTAGTCTCATTTAGTCTGTATTAATCAGTTTTTGTCTGTTTTAGTGAAAAAAATAAAATAATTGTGTGTTAGTAATTTGTTCGTTTAGTCAGTTAGTTAGTATGTTGGTGAAATATGCAGTGCATGTGCAGTTTGGATGACGTCACTGACACTGCGTCCAATTTTGACGAAGATCAGTTTTTTGACACGTCTAGTGACGTGTCATCTGTGTGTGAGCCGTCTGCAAAAAGAAGCTGTGCTTTCCCTGCTACGCCGAATGTGGAGGAGGACTAGATAACTCCACAGTTAGCGGAGCCCAACATCCCCCCTTTTAGTGCCAATGCAGGCATTAATATCAATGTGGATGACTTCTCCCCTATGCAATATATGGAGCTATTTTTAGGGGATACCATCTGGGAGGAGTTTGCTTCCCAGACTAATTTATATACCTACCAAATTTACTGATACCAATCCAGGTAGCTAAGCAGTCAAGGAGAATGCTTGGCATCCCAAAGATGTCCCTGAACGTAAAACATTCTGGGCTCTTACCATGTTCATGGGGATTATAAAAAAAGCCATCAATCCGGTCTTACTGGAGCACCAACCCTATCTATTCTAGTCCAGTGTACACCCAAACCATGTCTAGAGCAAGATATGAGTTGTTGCTCCGATATTTACATTTTAATGACAATACCCTCTGTCACCCCAGAGATCACCCCCAATATGATAGGCTTCATAAAATATGCCCACTGCTAGCACAAAGTTTATACTCCCCAACAAAATGTATCCATGGATGAATCCTTAATGAAATATAAAGGGAGATTAAGATTCAAACAATATATCCGCGAAAAGAGCTCTAGATATGGCGTAAAATTCTACAAACTATGCGAGAGCGAAAGTGGCTATACATTTGCCTTTTGTGTATATGAGGGGAAAGATGGTCAACTGGACCCTCCTGGCTGTCCTGACTCCCTGGGGACAAGTGGGAAAATTGTTTGGGACCTACTGATCCCCTTGTTCAATAAAGGTTACCACCTTTATGTGGACAATTTATATAGCAGTGTCTGTTTGTTTCAAACTCTTTATGGTTTGCAGACACTGGCCTCATAGAGGCCAAATTAAAAAAAGGTGAATGTAAAGCTCTGTGCTAAGCCAAAGTGCTTTCAATAAAATTTAAGGACAGGAAGGATGTTAACATGCTAACCACCATCCATGACGAAAGCATGTCAGACGTCACTGTCCGAGGCAGAGTACAGACCAAACCTGTTTGCATCAGGGCTTATAACAGGCACATGGGGGGGTGTTGATTTGGTTGATCAGCGTATGCAGCCAAATATTATTTTAAGAAAAATAAAAGCCTAGTATAAAAAGGTGGCTATCTATCTGATGCAACTAGCAACCCACAATTCATTTTTGCTTTTTAAAAAACTGAATCCTGGAAAACTGGGGTGTTTTCTGGCAGTAACATATAACCAGCTGGCTAAAATAAAAAAGCAGAATTCAAAAATTACAACCATGCACGTTCTCTGAAATTTTTTTGCACAATGGTTGGGGGAAGGATGTTAAAATACCCCAAATACAATATCCTGCCATGTCTACTTTATAAAAATATATACTTTCATGATGGTAACATTACTGGGGGGATGCAAAAATATGCCAAATTTAAGATAGGCCAAACATACCTATATATCCAGTTGAAAAACTGACATGCACAAGTCTCTGTCGTGGCCTTTGAGCCCCCAAACAACCCAGCAAACCTATGCATGGGTGGTATCACTGTACTCAGGAGATGTCGCTGAACACATATTGGGGTGTTTTCTTGGCAGTGATACATAACAGGATCTGTTAATTCATGCATAAAGTACAATGTGTGTCAAAAAAACACAAACAAAATTACTACCCAAAAGTTTGACAAAGGCTGGTGGTAGAATTCAGTGCATGAAATGTTTTAAAATACCACCATTTACAATACCCTGGGTTATCTACTTTTCAAAAATAGATGGTTTGATGGAGATAAAATGCATTGACCAAATAGGACACGGGCACAGGTTGACTACATGTCAAAATTCCAAGTTGGAAAATGGATATGCGCACCTGCCAAATGTGTCTTTTCTAGCCCCCTAACAACCCGACAAGCCTATGCATAGGTGGTATTACTATACTCAGGAGATGTTGCTGAACACATATTGGGGTGTTGTTTGGCAGTGACATGTAACAGAGCTTCCTGTACCCCGGTGGCTCCTAGTGCTCACCAAGGACCATCAGCACCGCACCAGACATCATAAGCACTTGAGACCCCACGAACCGCCGCAGCTTGGTTGGGATCTCGCCGTCTCCTACCCACTCTGGACCTACGACAAGGCTCCAGGTGTCGGTATGTGTATCTGTGTGTTGGTGTGTGTATCTGTGTGTCAGTGTGTGTAGCTTAGTGTCCGTGTCTGTGTATTTGCATGTGTGTCAGTGTGTGGAAGTGTATACACTACACACAAATGCACACCGGCATTCAAACACCAACATTCACACACATACTCCATACAAAAACATGCTTACATTATATCACACATTGTGTTTGTGTATATATACACACACACACTACACATGGACTTTACACACACTACACACTGCACTTTACACATACTGCATCCACAAAACACACACTCTTTAACCACGCTACAAAACTACTTCCTTGTGGGTGGATTTGGAGGCGGGTCCTGTGGGTGGGATTTAGAGGCGGGCCCCGAGGCCTGGCTCCCGGGGGGCCCAGTCCTTCAGTTGTGTTAGGGGCCCCAAAATTTCTGATGATGGCCCTGCATAGAACATGTCTAGAAAACACAATAAACTAATACAAACTCAGATCCTTTGTTGTAATACATCAGTAATAATAAATTGAATGATTATTAGAAAGTATTCAGTGCAAATCTCACAGCTGTCATTGCTTGTATTACTGTTCTTGCAAATTCTACTTGCCTTTAAAATCATAGAAGCAAAGGAAAAGCACCAATATCGTGAATAGGAAATGATATATTGTAATACATAGAAGAAAAAAAAATTACTATTAATGGTACAGCAAAGATAACACAATATTACATAAACATTCCGTTGCATATACAATGCGGGGTTCCCAATGTATACTTACTACTTTCCATTTGCAGGTGATCAATTAGCACAAGTAGAAAACTAGCCCAGTTGAGTGTGCCATGGACCCTCAGGCTGGAAGTAGCTAGTGGACTTGATATTTTAATTCCATATAACAATAAGTGATGCAGGAAGAATGGGGACAAAGAGGAAATTTGCCAACACAAACCATACTCAGAGTCACCCCCACATACCCATCTTTATAGTATCATGGCTTTGGCGGATTGGTAAAATATGTGTATTATTTATAATAAAAGTGATATTTACAAGATTTTTACTTTATTCAACCAGATTCTATTATCTTTGCTTGGAGTGTTCCTATAATGCTGCACTTTTCCCCAAGT